GAGGAGTTGGATAACCTCTTGCTGTTGGGATACTAGTAGGGCTAGTGTTTTATTGTTTGCGTTAGTCTTGGCTTGAGGGGTTGCTGGTGTGGACTGTGTGGTATAGCTGTTGGAGCTGCCGTCTTGTATAGAGATTACGTGAACTTCGTCTTCTATATCCTGGTTAAGCCTGCGGCTCGCCTCGTGGCGTCTCTCTCTTGTGTTCTTGTAGGGAGCAGCTGATTGGGACCGGGTGATTCTAGTTGTGCTTAGTAGAGTAGACGTTGACTAGCGTCGTATACGTGATTCGGTACTAGGGTTTGAAGCTATAGTTTAGACGCTGTGCTAAGTCTGCGCTTTAACCACCGGTGAGAGAATTTGCGTCTAGTAGGCGTAGACGCTATTGTAATAGAGCCTAGCCTTACGGCCGCGCTAAGGCGGTGTAGGCTTTGCTACTACGATAAGGTGTTGTGTGTGCTGTGCGCCTTCTTTTGCTGGTAGTATTGGCCCGGGTCGGGCCTTGGTTAGTAAGTTCGGATCTGGCTTTTGGTTGAGCGATTAAGTTCGATTGATTCGATTAATTGATTAATTGATTGATTTCTATAAGCTATGCAGGTCTCTATGGGACCTATAAGCTATCCTTGCGTAACCTACTATAAATATAACACTTCTTAGTCTTACCTAAACGCCCATATATAAAGAAATCCTGCCCTTTTTTAGAGGGCCTGCTAGCTAGAGAACCGGCCTATAGCGAGTAGAAACTACACCACTACCCGGACTATCTTAACGCTTAGTTTCTAACTTTCCCTTAGCCCATCTACTAGTTTCCTAGTCTGCCTATCCTCCGCTCTACTTCTCCCCCTTAGTAGAAAGGATATATCTCCCCATCGGTTCCCTGCTAACGAGCGGATTTCCGTTCGCAGGTGCGCCCATAGGGGACATATAAGAATAAGGTGTTAAACTATCTCCTCCGCCAGTCCACACTAGCACTTTACAGACTCCGCTCTCTTAATCCAGGAGAGGTAAGCCTGTAGGTGTGTGTGGTTTATCCTACACTAAGCGAGGGCGTTGGCCTGTTCCGCCCCGAGGCCTAGATATAACTGCGGCTGGTGCTTGCCTAGAAAGGCGGCATCTAGTCGACGTAGATACCCGCCCTACGGTGTAGGTCTAGCTTCCGCTACTCCCCGCTCTTCCTCAATCTTCTGCCGAAGTAGGCCAAGAACGCTCGCCCTGCACCTCCGCCTCTCCTTGAAGGGAAGCGTCGGGGCTAGGCCCTGCCTTGTGGTCTCTTTCGCTGCACTATCGGCGGCGACGTACATCGCATTGCTCAAAGAGACTCGCAAGTGAGAAAGCGTACGTAGTTATCCCCGACAGACGGCGTTCCTTTCACGTCGCACAAGAACGTCAGACGTCACTCGTCAGTCGCGGGGCAGCCCGGCGCGGCGCGGTGTCACATGCCGTGGTTGCCAGGGCATCCTGTCGTGCAACTCTGTTAAAACTGCAGCGCCGACGACTGCATCTCCCGCACCCGCACCCCGTTATTTCTTCCAGCCATGTCCACCCTCGACACCATCTGCGACCGCGTCCGCGCCTGGCAGGAAAGTTTGCGCGTCGCTGGCGCTTCGACGCCCCCGCCTTCTTCGTCGCCTCCGCCTTCGTCCCCGTCATCGCCTTCGTCGCCGCCTTCGTCGCTGTCGTCGCCGCTGAAGCGCAAGGCCGCTGCCATGGCCGATCGCTCTGCTTCCCCGAAGCGCCGTCGGGTTGCTAGTGGCGCGGATAGATGCGACCGTACCGACAACGGCACCGACCATGCTACGCCCTCACGCGCTGGCTCTGTCTTCTCGAATGCCCCGGTGTTTCCTCCCGCATCCACGGCGTCGCATACTACCTCGCCAACCGTGTCGTGCCCTCCTTCGACGACGGCGTCGCGATCCCGTGGATCGAGTCCAAACAAACTCGGCGCTCGCCAAATGCTTATCGATCTCGACATTACCGTGCCGGCTTTCAACTTGGGTCACTCATACGGTGATGATGATGACGAGGACATTACCATTAGCGATATTGAAGACGAGAACATTGGCGACAAGGAAGATGAGGATGAACTCCCATCGGGTATACGAGAACTCGTCGAACGACTCTCCCAAGGGCGCATCCAACAGCAGTGCATTCCGAGGGTGCTTCAAAAAGTCTTACGCCGCTTGCACAAAGGCCAAGAGTGCATTCCCGAAGACGCTTTCGCCAAGCCCACCTCGCCTTCCATGTCGACGGAGCAGGCACGTAACCTGCTCAAATTGGTACGGGAGATACATCGGGTTGCGCTTCTCGCTTATGACGACCTCGAAGAGGAGACAGACTGGTACGATGTCGTAAAGGCTGTACTTACTATACCGGAAAGCCCGATCATCCTCAAGAAGTGCGCAAGAAAGGTTGTCGCCACGGAGCTGCTGCCGCTCAAGGAGGGCAAACCAATCAAATCGGTTGGGGTCGATTGCTTTCTGCAGTTCGACATCAAGAAACCGGAGATTAAAGACGTGGTACACTCAGCGCGTCAGAAATGCCCTAGCTTCAACTTCTCGCCCTTCAAGAATGCGGAGGCGTGCCGGTCCTTTGCGGCTGCCTTTGTTGAGGTCAAAACCCCCTCGGGTATCTTTACCGATGGTGTTTACCAGTGCGTGGTCACCACTGCTGCTTACCAGGAGCGGTTGCTCGGCTTCATCGGCTTGGCCAAGAGGGCAATGGCATCGTCATCAAGCGGAGACCAAAACAACCTCCCGTCCACGAATGGCTCCCACCCAGCAGCCAATCCGAGCAGTCCTTCCAGCGATGGCGTCCTCGCGTCCAGCGTTCAGAGCGTTTCGTTGAGCAACGGCTCGTCTTCATCCAACCCCACGACAGTCTTATCCAATGGCAATTCGACATTGCCCAACTCCCCCGTCGATACGGACCCTTCGAGCAGGGACATGCCTTCGTCCACAGCGGAGCAGCCACTGTCCAGCAACCCAAAGACCAATGAGTTTCTCACCTACCTCCCGGTCATAGGCTGGGTAGTGCATCACCACGCCTGGTACCTCCACATCGCCTTCAGACAGCCAGACAACACAGTCGTAAGTGCAATCCGCTCTCATCCCTCATCTCCTCGCATTTCTCGAGCCGCACACCCAACTAACTTCGTCCCCACAGAGAGTCCTCGGTCCCTTCCTCTGCGGCAGCACATCAACGCTCTACGAGATCTTCCGCCTGCTAAAAATGGTCCGCGAGGTCCACGACTGGGCCACGCAAACCATGTGGCCGGCGCTCAAGGAGGTCATGCAGTTCGCTACGCCGCAGCAGCTCAAGGAGCAGGCAGAGCGGCAAGTAGCTGAGGCGCTGCAGAAGACGCAGGAGGAGTTGGCGGCGCAGCAGGCGAGGGTCGCTGAGCAGCAGAGGGCGCTGGCTGGGCCGTCGAATACGTAGCGTGCTTGGGTACGCGATTGCGCCTCTTAAGAGGGTGATTCGGCTTTGTCTTCTTAAGGGCGGTGCATGGTCGCCGCCGGGTTCTGGTTAGTGTTACCTTGGCGACTCGTCTGCGTGGGTGTGGCTGGCTGGCTTTAGTCTTTACGTAGTCCTAGCTCAGGTATATGGGAATAAACAGTCCTACATAGACCTTACTCATGCTTCTGAAATTAAAAACTTCTATGTATACAACTAACTTACTTTAAATCCTTCTATGCTGCATCTTGTCGTGATACGAATATCAAAGCTCTTCTATAGTAAAATAATAAATACATTATATAGCCCTCTATTAAATACAACTTGTTTATGCCGCGAGAAGGTGGACGCGGCGGTATAGAACCGGAGTTTCTATACCTATATACTTAGCGTTTTTTATGCCGCTTTGCGCAGACACGGACTTCTGTCCCGGCTGGGTGGGTAGGTGCTTTTTCTTTGTTGCCTGTCGGCTTTTCGCTCCCGGAACGGTGATGTAGGTTTGTATTTGCTTCCTGAATTCGCTCTACGGCTTCGGTCCACCTTGGCGTTGCTAGTAACTTCTATTAAATACTCTCGACGAATCTGTAGCAGGGCAGGCGTCGTGCTGCCCGTTCTTCTATTGCTCTCTACGCGCAGCTTATGATCTTTCTCCTCTAGCAAGAGCTGCACGCCGCCCGCAGAAAATGCGCTCTTACCTACCCCGCTGAAGCTTAACCATGCTACCGCCTTTCTGAACCCGTAACGTAGTATCTGTAGAAGAAACTTCTGTACAGATTCGAGAACCGCAATACTTACAGTTTAGTATAATACTTACTATAGCTAACATCCTATAGTACTCCGAGTCTTATACGGATACGGTCGCGGAAAGCTTTGCGAGAACAGTTTAGCTTTACGGTAGTTATTATATTTAGCTTGGCTTCTTCGGCGGAGTGAGTATGCGCATTATATTCGAATTTATCTCCATCTTTTCTTCCGTTCTTGAGTCTCGTATCTTATACGCCTACGGCCTGCGATAAGCAAGGGGTTCTGGGGATAAGGAAGGATTCTTAGCAGAGTGAGCAAGGAATCGAGAACCACAGAAAATTCGCCACTACAATGAACATGGCTCTGCCTCTCCCTTGGCTATGGCGTTGGATCTAAGGACGAGGAATAATAATATTGAGAATACTGTTCGCACGACCGATAGGCTTGCTAAGACAGTCGAAGAATATTAACAATTTTACTGCAGTCGCCTTGGGTGAAGGAGCCAGGAATGTTGTCTTAATCACTATATCTAGATCGACATCTCCTTCCTCTGGGAAGCTATGCACTTATAAAATCTCAGCAAGGCAATGCGCCTATGCCTCAGTGGCTTTCGTAGGGGCTTTCTATTCATTAGTAAAAACACACTGTTTGGTAGCTGAAGCGAGAGCGGCCAGACCCGACGAGCTATTCTAGAAAAACTAAAGCGGCTCTATCTGGATATTTAGCTTTGGCTGAAGCGGCTCCTTAGGCTTTTGTTGTTAACGGGATTCGAGTTTAGAGATCGTGTAAGAATATAACCGGGTGATGGCAATTCGTACTATAGTAGTATTACCTTGTTTCGAGTTCTGGGGAACTGACCCTTGATTTGTATTCTCTCTTGGATGCTTTAGTTAAGCAATTTCAAACACAACGTCGAGAGCAACCTGACAAAGATGGGTTATAAACATGGAAATTCAGGCACTTCAATCTATCAACGAGTTAATAATAGAGGACTCAAAGCCGCAATTAACTGTTACGCCCAGATGGAAAAGTCAAAAGTTAAATTAACTCCAATGCCTACGAATATCTACGAAACCGTGGTCATCAGCCAGTCAGAAAGGTCTCCCAAACGCTCGCTCTCACCACTGCGGCGGCTTCGTTATCTACTGCTTAACGCCCGCCCCCGAAATTTCTTACAGGCAGCGAAAACATATTTCTAGACAATTGTTCTCAATCTCAGCGCAAGTTAATAGAGTTCTTTCCTGCCTCGGCAAGTCGAAAAACCTTAAATCTTCAATGTCGTGGTCCTTGGCTGCGTGATGGTCAGGAGCTGTAGCTGTCGGGGAAAATTCGGCTTGACTTACCTATTTTGTTGATGATCCCGCCGGAGCCGGGACAAATGGCTACTTTCGGGAATCAGTCCGCCTGTACGCCAACGCAGTCGATAAAACAGATTTTCAACCCGGTCGCATTTTCTTCCCGGTCTCAATCACTTCTTCATGATGAGCGACGTCGCTCAGGTTGCTGAGGATGTCAACACCATCTCAACCTTTCTTTCAAAAGAAGATATTTCAGACATTTCCTCCATCGAGCCAGTCGATTGCATCATCCTCTGCGTGTCCTCAGTGCTATATAGCGCCGATACCATTTTCACCGCTCTCCGATCCCGACCCGACTTGACCAAAGCGCTGGTTCTTTGTGGCGGAGTGGGGCATTCCACAAACTTCATCTACGAGGCCGTAGCGGCGCATCCAGTGTTTGGGGCGCTTGCATCGGAAATCCAAGGACTCCCCGAAGCCCAAGTCCTGCACGCGATATTCAGGCAGTTCTTTGCGACACCAGCACACATAACAACGGGACCAAGAATCATCCTAGAGGACCAGTCCACCACATGCGCAACCAACGCCACCGAAGCGCGCAAACTCCTCGACGCCCACGGCATCCCCAGCCCTGCCACAGTCGTCGTCGTGCAAGACCCAACCATGGTGCGCCGCACGGCCGCATGCTTCGAGAAAGCGTACGCCGATTTGCCTACCAAGCCGCGCTTCCTCGGCTGTCCGGTTTTCGTCCCGCTTCTGAGGTCTGTTGATGATGGGAAGCTGGCTTATGCCATGGCGGATTTTGGTTCCCCGTTGTGGAGTATGGATCGGTTCTTGAAACTTGTTATGGGTGAGATACCGCGTCTGCGCGATGATGCGAATGGCTATGGCCCGAGGGGCAATGGGTCTATTGCGCATGTTGATGTTCCTGATGGGGTTGAAGAGGCTTGGAAGCGCTTGGCGAGTGCGATTGCTCATCGGAGGTAGTGATGTTTATTAAAAAGACTCGATTGTTATTGTAGAAGATAGTTTTAAGCCTCTTGTCCAGCTTTTCTGCAATTGAGTCGACGTGGTCCTTCAATGGGCCATAAATTGTTGTTACGCTGGGCTACAGTCAGGTGACACGTGCAAATCTTAGACTTTCCCTTTCGCAGCTTAGCGTAGTTTGCGCTCGCCGAGTCAGACTCCCACGCATCCACGCTGTGCTCGCAACTGGACGAGATCCTAACCAACAACCAATAACCAGCAACTCGTTTTCACATTGTCCCATTATCGCATTCATCATCCCAAGGCCTCCTGTCAGTGATTGTCTCCCTTCTAAAGCCAATGCTCCGACACATAAATTTTGCGCTCAGCGTTAAAGGTGACGCTCCATGACGCCACTGACGATCATCCACCGGAAGATTTTGCCTATTTGGGTAGGCGTTCCAGTCGCATCCGCCGGAACGCTTTAACAAGCGGCCATCCACATTCCTTCCGAGCAACTCTTCCGTCCGACATTTGCTTCGTGTGACAGAATGGACGTTTCCGCACCAACACCAGTGCCGAGAAAGGTTCCGAGCGCCTGCCAACGGTGCCGACGACAGAAGCTCAAGGTAAGCTGATTCTGCCATCGAAATTGAGACGTTAATTGAGCAGATTGTGTGTGCAGTGCGATATCCAGCGCCCTTGCAGCCTTTGTGTGAGAGCCGGAGTTGAATGCTCCGCTGCGGAAAACTCGTCCATTTGGAAGCCGCAATTCCCGTGCCAGCCTTCTCAAGGCAACAGAAGCCGGAAGAGAACGGCGACGGCTGCGCAGCATGCGCAGAAGAGGGTGCGTCGTGCAGTTCCGGTGCGTAATAACACTGCCGGGGTTGCGCCGCCGGTGCCGGACCCGGAACCGGAACCGGAATCGAGTCTCCAGCGTCAAATCTCTCCGGTCGAAGACGACTCTGCTGGAGGTCCTGAACACTCGCCGGATCCGGGACCAGCGGGAAGCACTTCTGTCGGCAACGTCACTGAACAAAGGCCGCCCAGTGTGTCGGCAATTCCTGACGTGTCCTGGATTTCTAGCTCAGCTGCTATAGATTTTGCGGAAGAGGTAACTGAATGCTACCATGCGAAGTGCAACTACATGACATTTGCTAACATTGAGCGAAGGCATTTCACCAACACGAAACAGCCGCACTTGAGGAATCTGAGACTTCGGCATTTTCCGCATGCCAGTGGGCGCAAGCACGGCCAGCCGACCGTGGAAATTTCCCCGTGCTTGCCCAAACACTAAGCCTAGGATCTCCCAGCATGGCTCGATCCATCAAATCATCAAAGCGAGCTGAGGTAGAACTTATGTCAATCATTCCAGCACTTGAGCCTGCCACGTTGCTCGTGAACAACTATTTTGACAGAATCCATTGGTTCATGTTGGTCTTTCATCAAACCGATTTCATTGAAGGGTTCCACCAGCTATACACCAGACTTGGACACCATCCAACGGAGATGAATGTTCGTCTCGGCTTTCTCAGTGTGTTCACATCCGTCTGCATTGTCAGTTTGCGATACACAAATGCCGAACAGAGAGCAACACTGGCAGGCTATGGTGTTCATCCGGACAACTTGCAAGACAGACTCCTCACTGCTTTGAGATTGAGGCTCTTTGACGTTGTTTCGCTTGGTTCCATTGAAGCAATTCAGACCTGCGTTCTCCTGGGCAGCTTCTTCTTATATCATGGAGAACCCGAGCTCGCATGGCCAATATGCGGATGCGGGTTGCGAATAGCACAGGCCTTGAATCTTCATCGACAAAAGTCCGCAAGGTCATCTGCCTCGCCAGATCTGGATGATCCCGTCCAGCGAGCCGAAGAGACAAGGAAGCGGTGCTGGTGGGCCGTATACGAAATCGAAACATTCTGCTCAATGCTGTACGGTTTTCCTCTGAGCATATCAGACGACGACTGTGACGTTCAGCATATTGACCCGTATCCGGTGAGGTCAAAAGATCCAACTTGGGAGTCTGCGACTTGGCGGGCAACTGGTCAGGCTACACTGCTCTCTTACAAATTTTCCATGGTCCAACTGTCGACAATTGTCAAGTCAGCACTGACAGACCTGTATGGGCTACGCCAAAGCCTGCCTGGAAAAGGCAGTGCCATCCGGAATGACGGATCAAGATTGCAGAACCTGATTGCAGGTGTGAACAGACTCGATTCGAGGCTTCAACAATGGTACACAAGCCTCCCCAAGCAACTGCAGTCGGAAAAAAACGAAGTCCCTGCACCTGCACAAGGATCGAATCCCGCTGCATCAATGCAACGACACCTCTTTCAACTTCAAGCGCTTGCGCTCAAGCTTGCCTTCGAAAATGCCAGGATTCTCGTGCACAGGCCTCTCTTATCCTATAAGATGGTAGCGTCTCACGGAATTCCTGAAGGGCAGAGCTCTTCTGCCACTTCGCCGCCTGATCCATTCCGTGTGTCGACTGTGATCTGTAGAGACGCCGCCCTACAGATAGCCAAAGTTGGCTCCACGCAGGTTTTCAAAGATGCTGCAGATACATATGCAGTTTCCTTCATTTCTCTGCATCTTTTCACTGCAGGTGTTACGTTATCCATCATGACGAGCCCAGACCCGCTCAGTCAAGCATCACATGAATCAAAACTCGGTATTCGACGCCTAATGGAGATGCAGTCGCGATTGAAGTCCAAATCAATTGTTGCTGAGCAGGGCCTTGGGATTCTGAAAAAGTTGATGTCGCTTGTGTTGTTGAAAGAAAAAGAGAAGATGTTTGAGTTTCCTGAAGGGCCTGTGGACGAAGAGCGAGGGCGTGAGCCAGCAAACTCTCGATCCGGATTTGAGACAATGTCAATCGCTGAGGCTGACAGTCATGGGGCGGGAAGCGGTCAATCAGCAGTAATGCCTGAGAGACCTGCAGATCAAAATTCGCAACAAACAGTTGAGATTAGGCCTTCTGGAGTTGAGCCAATGCAGCCGGCAACCACGAGTAATACCGAAGAACTGCCTTTCGACTTTTGCGAGGATCCAATAATGGCGCAAGCACTTATTGACTTTGAACAGGGTATGTATGTGCTCCATGATGGTTATTGTTCTGACCTTGTTATAGCAATGACCAACGTCCCAGATGCGTCATCTGGGGATGTATTTCTTTCTTTCAATGATGAGTTTTCCGCCGAAAGTTGTTTCAGTGGACAGGATCAGAGCTGGATCTGGGGTACGAATCTGTATAGCTGAAAATTCGAATCGAATCTGGGCTTGGTTTGCCTCTGTCCGTCCAACAAATTCCTTTGTCAGTTTTTGCAGAAGAGTTGTCCCATGGTTTATGCATACAATGTGTAGCATACAGTGAGAGAAACACGAAAAACGCAGTCCTTGAACAAACGAACAGGTCCCACCTAAGCAACACTAGTACCCTCCATCTTGATCCTCCGCCATCGGCTTAAACGTAACCGTAGTCGGCTCATCCGTGATCCCGCGCCTCCTCGCCTCCTCCAAAATAGCGACCGTAGCAGTAGCGCCAATCCTCGTAACCCCAACCGACATGACAAAGAGCAAGTCATCCAGCGTACGCACGCCGCCGGCAGCCTTAATCTGGATATCCTTGCCAGCGTGCTTGCGCATGAGCTTCAGATGCGAGGGCGTCGCGCCCTTGTAGTTGTACATCCCACCCGGCTGCTTCACAAAGCCATACCCCGTCGACGTCTTGACAAACGCGACCTCAAGCTCCGTGCAGATCTCGCACAGACGCACGACGTGCTCGTCGGCCAAGAAGTCGTTCTCGAAAATAACCTTCAAGGCCGCGCCCTCCGCGCGCACAGCCTCGTGGACAGCGCGGATCTCGTCTGCCACGTACGCCCACTCCCCACTCAGCGCCTTGCCGACGTTAATCACCATGTCGATTTCGCGGGCGCCGCCGGCCGCGGCTTCCCGTGCTTCGAACACTTTGCTCGCTGTCGTGCTGTTGCCGTGCGGGAAGCCGATCACGGCGCACACGCCGACGCCGGTGTTGGCGAGCGTGGTGCTGGCGAGCGCGACGTGGTAGGGTTTAATGCAGGCGGTGGCGACGCGGTAGGTGCTGCAGATGGTGAGGCCGGTCTGGATGTCCGCGTCGGTGAGGGTGGGGTGCAGGAGCGAGTGGTCGATTGTTTTGGCTAGTTGGCTGAGGGTTACGGTGATGGTGTTGGGTGTTGGGGCGGCCATTGTGGTGGGTGGTGGGTTTGGTTGTTGTGGTGGTTGTGCTGTGTTGGTGCGCTGTCGTCGGTTCGGCTTGTGTGGTGGGAGATGCTTTTTTATAAGAGGCGGTTGTGTTTTCCTTATTGCCTTGGCAGCGTTGTTTTGCTGTACTGAGATGGAGTGAAGGCCTTAGTAGTGGCTTCTATCGGCGGAAAATTCCAAAAGCGGTAATCTGTCCCACCGGGTTTCTCGGGATGAGACTCGGAAGCTAGTAGATCCTTCGGAAGACTAGAACTAACAGCCTGCCTCGGCGGCAGCGTGCGTCGGCACGACGTGTAGTAGGCAAAAGTTTGTTATAATTAAAAGTGCGTACTGTGGACGTGTATACAATGTATTGCGCGGTGCGGAGCGAGTAGCGAGTAGAGAAGATCCCCGGGTCGTTTGTGTGTGCGATATAAGGTAATATGCTGGCTGGGGCTAGGACCTTCTGTCGCAAAATATGGAGGCTCTAGTAGTACCTTTTAAGCAAAGCCAAACACCTTTGATCGCTTACATACTTCTCTTACTATGCTTTAGTTCGGAGCCGGCCTGCATCGACCTCGTCCCCATTACGTTATCGGTCCAGATGTGCATATAGGTACTGATATCGCATCCAGGCTTTTTCCGCTGACCAGACAGATTCATCCGTCATTTACTCACACACATAAAGGTTGCTACACGAACAATCACAGCTCTACTACCTGCGGTACCAAAGTAGCAAAGCCGGAACACGAACGGCCGAGCGTTCCACATAAGTTTCCGGTAGTGCCATCACCAGTGGCGCGCGTGTTCTCTAGAGATTTATATACTCTACTGCGATTATACGTCTTGCGACATCCCTGGGATCATGGTATAGTGGAATAAAAAAGCTGCGCAGAATGGCTTATTGTAATACCTAGCCTCTTCTCCAGGGTGGTGCATTTTGCTCTTTTCAAGAAAGAGAAAACTGCTACCAAGGCAATGCGCAAAGAGTACGAGGCTTACATACGGGGTAGAAAGACTTGGACGATGCAAGGCGCGCCTGTGCTGGACTTTATTACCGTAGCTAGCGGGGCAAAGAGGAAGAAACCTCCGGGTCGGTCTACGGTGCGCTGTGCTCTCATCGCACTTAACGCCCCCTCGGCAGCGTATGCATCAGCGCAGCCCGCTCTGCAGGTACGAGGAACCGCGAGCGTACCAGACGGCTAAAAGTGCCTTTACTAGGCTGGTGTGCTTCGGTGCTGCGACAAAGAGCACCTTGCCCCCGCACACAACCTCGGCACCGCCGTAGCGACGTAAAATATTAATCTGCGCGCTATCGGCGTTAGCGGGCGATCGAACTGCCTAAAGAAAAATCGTGGCCGGGAGTTCGGCTTAGTGCGTGCCGCTAGAGAAGGGCTGTTTTTAACGTCGTTAGGGGATGCTTTGGAAATTTTCTATATATTATAGACCACAAGAGCAGTTAACCCGCAGGGTCGGAAAGACCTTGTAGGAAGGAGGCCCATACGGGCCTAGAGACCACAAGGGCTTAATGATTAATTGATTCATTTTACGTCTATATGCAGTTGGAAACTATAACGGACGGTCTATTTAGGACTGGCTAGGGGGTTTAAATACAAGATAAAAGCGAGGTAGTGCGAGGGATAGTTGGATCTAGGCCGAGGTTCTACGGGGGTTTTTCTTAGTAAGGAGTGCCGAAAAATTTTCCCGCTAGGTCGGGGGAAAGGCTGGTATGTTTTCTGGTTGTAACGTAATAACTAAGGCCTGCGGCCTGGTGCAAGTTGGGAGGGTAAGTAAGTTAGCTGTTCCGGTTCGTTTAATGTCGGATTTAGGTCCCTAGAAGCGCTGGTTGTTGCGTTCCCTTCTGTCTCGAGAAAAGTGTCTTGAATACACAAGCTAGTAGAGCAGCATACACAGCCATCAATTGCATCCGTCGCCCGCTATGCGATCGCACCACTAACATAGCTAGAAGAAACCTCTAACCTACCTACCTTAGAGTAACGGTAGAACTTTCGCAGCCTAGCAAGCTATAAGGCGCGATAACCATGCAGCTAGCAGGTTGCGTTGCGTTGTAGTAAAGCGTGACGGGTACAGCTCTCCCTTACTCGTACTTATCCTCGTACTTACGTAGGTATTACCCCACTTCCCCGCAACGGCCGCTGCTCAGGCAACAACAACATCAATTTCATACCCCGCCAAACAAACAAACCACCAGCACCATCCCATCTCATCCACAAACGCTTCCACCACCACCACCGCACCCGTATCACGACTCTGCCCCAGGTCCCACATCGAGAAGCGCAACCGCGTAGTGCGTAGTAATTAGGAGCGTCGCGTCGCCGTCATTCAAGGACAGAGCTTCTCGCGACCGCGCAGCGCCCGTCGCAGCAATCAATATGCGCAACCCCCGCCACCTTCCCTAAGACTCTAGCCCCACGGCGACACTATGCACGAGCTCCCGATCGCCAGCAGCAGAGCCGCACGAGGCTTGTTTCAACCTTAGCTCATCTCACACGGCCGTACCTAAGTTGGCGAAGATCAGACGCGGAGCGAGCGCCTTTCGGAACTATAATGGACGGAGGCGGATGCTATGGTTTTACGTAGTTGCTACGCTACTATCTATTACTGCTGCGGCAGGGAGAGGGGGGGAGCTACTTTTCTAGGTTGCTGACGTGTTCGCCGTGCTGGAGGAAGTAGGGCTTTGTTACGTAGACGCTCCCTTGTTTGGAATGAAGCACATGATAGGCTGGGAGTTAATAGATAGTATTACATTACGCGATTACTATTTCTACGCTCCTTCGCTAGCGACCGGCGCGCTGTAGGCTACGTTGCCGTTACGCGAGCTCGCTGAGCTTGAGTAGGGGAAGGATAGCTTAGTGCGGTATACGCGTATCTCGGTACTAACGTATGTATATACGGATTCCTAGCTAAACACGGTAGGTCGATGTGCAGCTATCTAACTCAAGCGAGACTAGCCTTCGCTAGCCGCAAGAGTGCGACCCGGTGGTTTAGTCCGTGGCGTGAGTATCTATTTATATATGTCTACAATAGTTGTTTGGCGCATATAGGTTAGACTTTTTCGTAAGTGGTTGCTCGTCTAGTGATTTTAATAGAGTGCGGTGGTGGCATTCGATTCCTACCAATCTCGAAGAATTTGCGCGCCCGCGCCCCCCGCGCGAAGCGAGTGCACGGGCTAACCCTATAATGGAGAACAATATCGATGTCCTAGGTGGAAGGATAGTAAAGCGGAAGGCGGTATCGCCGGCTACATCGTCGTCAGCGAGGGTCCTCCGTAGTAGAGTAGGGTCTCTAGAACCTAGAGATAATAAAAGGTACCCCCGCCGAGCTATGGCACCGGCGGAGACGGGAATTAAACGCGGGATAGACCAGCTTCTAACCGCGGTCGAGAGGTTAGAGGACTTAGTCTTAGAGCAGTCCGCAACGATCTAGCAGCTCTAGGAGACTCTCCTACACTAGGAGACAACTGCTAAGGAGCTCCACGATAGTATACAAGGCTAGAAAGGCCTTATAGACGCGTTAACAGCGGAGGTTAAAACCCTCCGCGCGGCGCAAGTAACTAATAAAACTACCCGCAAATCGTAGGCTAAGAAGGCCGAAGAAGCGCTAGCACAAGCCTAGAAACCGGCTACCCGCAGCTACAGCGAAGCAGCTAAGCAAGGGGGTACCTAAAACACTAGATAGACGCTCGTAGCCCGGCAGGCTAAGCCTACTAAGATAGGACCGCAAACGGACGCGGAAATAGAAGCTACGGTTATAGTAGAAGCGTAGAGAGCTAAGGATAAGGTAGACTATACTACCCTCAAGGAAAAGGTCGTAGCGGCCCTTAAAGCCTACAAGACTACCGAGATACTAGAACCCCAGTACATCAGAGCGCGTCCAGCCAACCGCTTCGACGTTATCTTTAAGAACCGCCGCGAGGCGGAGAAAGCGAGGAAACACCTATCCTAGGCTAAAGAGGCCATCCTAGGGGCTATAATACGCAGAGAATAGTAGTTCCTAGTTAAATACGATAGTATTCTAAAAGAACTCGTTATAGCTAAGGACGGGAAGGCTATTAACGAGAAGGCCCTAGAAGCCTTTACTAAAGAAAATAGCTCGCTAGAACTTTCGTACATAGCTAAAAAAGCGGCGTAGCTATCTAAACTAGGTAGTAAGAAGGAATTAGGTTCTATAGTAGTATAGTTATCCTCCCGTAAGGCAGTAGACTACCTCCTCCGCACCTAGATTATACGCTTCGGGTCGTCTACGGCCTTCTACTCGGAGTTCGAGTAGACTAAATTCTAGGAGCTTCCGTATTTTAGGTATAACACGTATAGATATAAATAGAGTTACTATACTCGTTCGAAAGTAGCCTGCGGAGTATACTCTAGGGAATACTAAATACGCTTCTATAAAAACTAGGCGAACCCTAGATACCTAGTATATAAGGGCCCGCACGCGGTATTTAATAAGAAATACCCTCTACACCTAAAGAATAAGACTAGGACTAGGGAGGTCGAGATAACTAACGCCGAGGAGAGAGAATTCCTACCCGACGCTAGCTAGCCCGATCCGGCATCTAGTAAGACTAGATATTAAACACCCTTAACCTACTATAGCTAAATATCGGGAAACGTAGGGAGGTTCAGCTAAGCCTCCTTAACGATACTAAAACGGCATAGTTCGACATTCTAGCTATAACGGAGCCGTACCTATTCGCCTTCTAAGGCGAGACGTAACCGAGAGTTACCACCTACTAATAGTAGGTAGCCTTTACTCCTTTAATTAATAGAGAAGACAGCTATATTAGGTATAGTTACCGGGTACTCCTATAGGTCTATACGAGAGTATAGGCCTAGAGGGTCCTAGTACAGTCACCCGATATAGCCGTAGTACTACTACGCTCCCAGCGGGGCCTAGTATTAGTATTCTTAGTATATATCCCTAGGAATAGCGCTATAGTCTATTAACGCGAAGACCAACTAGCGGAGCGGGTATAGTTACTACACGATACTATTCGCAAAACGAAAGAAAAGGAAGGGCCGGACCTCGAGATCCTTATTACTAGGGACTTTAACCGGTACGACCAGCTCTAGGGAGGGGATAGCATAGGCGAGGAGGCTAGGTAGGGGGAGGCTATAGAGATTCTAGAGTTTCTCAAGGCCTAACACCTCTAGTCTCTCTTACCGCCCGGGACTATCACGTAGGAATACTAAGGCCTTTATTTAAGGTTAATAGTAGACCTAGTCCTTACGTCCCTAAAACTAGCGGAACAGGTAGTATATTATAGAATTTATAAGATAGACTATAGGTCTAACTATAGGGTAATCGACTTCCGGTTCGATACCTCCCTAACGAAGGCACCCCCGAAAGAGAGATACTACCTATTTAAGAACACAGACTAGGAGCAGATTAGGTATAATTACCGACTACATTAACGCCCGCGAGAGCTTAGCTCTACGCAAGAGATCGATACTAAAGCTTTAGAGCTAGTTCGGGAGGTTTAAAGAGCTATAGAGATATATATCCTAAGGGCCCGCCTATCTCCGTACGTAAAGCGATAGTAGACCCGCGAACTTACTAACCTACGCTAATAGGTTACGCAACTACGGAACCGGGCAACGCGAATAAGACGCTAAGGAATCCTAATAGAAGCAATAGCAGAATAGTTAAAGGCCGTACGCCGACTCTATTTTAGTAAAATCGACCGCTAGAAGCGGATTCACTAGAAGGAGTTCATCGACGACCCGAATAACTTATAGAAAGCTAATAAGTATACACGAGTAGAAGCGTCTAGGGGTATAGTTCCTACCCTCTAAAGGGAAGGAAGCGTAGCTAAAACAGACTAAGAGAAAGCCGAGGTATTACTAGAGAACTTCTTCCCAGTATAGCCCTAACCGTACTAAGGACCTAACCTAGGGCAACCCCAGGAACTAGTCCGATAGGCCCCCCTTAGAGACGAGGAGGTCCACCGGGCAGTTTTCTAGGCTAACCTATAGAAAGCCCTAGGAGCTAACGGCTTACTCTTCCAGGTCTAGAGAGAACTATAGCCGGTTATAGGCTAACGGGTATATACCCTATACAGAGCATCACTTCACGTAGGCTACCTACCGAAAGCCTAGCACATAGCACAGATCGTCACACTTAGGAAACCCGGGAAACCCGACTATACAACGCTAAAGGCCTATCGCCTAATATCGCTACTACCTATAATCAGCAAGGGCCTAGAGGTAGTCGTAGCACGCAGGATATCCTACCTAGTAGAAGAGTACTCCCTACTCCTAGAAAACTACTTTAGAGCGAGGAGAGGACGGTCCGGAGAAATAGCACTAAACGTACTTAATAAACAGATCTACGACGCGTAGAGACGCCGGAAAGTTCTCTCCCTAGTTATATTCGACATACAAGGAGCCTATAATAGGGTTAATAAAGAGGTACTATATTAGAGACCAGTAGAACGCCGCCTACCTCCTACGCTAGTCCAGTAGATAGACAGCTTTTATAGCGAGAGGAAGGGAGCGGTAATAGTTAACGGATTTATATCGCTACTCTAGGAGATACGCTATCCGGGATTACTATAAGGCTCCCCCCTCTCGCTAATTCTATACATCCTATTCAACGCAGGGCTAGTAGACCGACCTATTACTACGAAAGGCGGAGCCCTTAGCTTTATAGACGACTACACGGCGTAGGTCGTAGGGCCGTCTATTAGCTATAACGTAAACCGCCTCTAGCAGGAGGTAATACTATAAGCCGAGTAGTAGGCGGAAAGCAGCGGAGCGACGTTTAATAAAGGGAAAACCTACCTCATTTACTTCGCCCGTTTAGACCGGCTAAAGGACACCCCGCCTAAAGAACTATAGTTTAAAGGTAAGGAACTTAAGGCTAAAACAGTAGTTAAGATCCTAGGGGTCCTCATCGACTAGGAGCTACGAATAAACGCGCATATAGCTATAGTTACAGCTAGCGCGCTTAAAAAGTACCTCGCTATAAGGCGACTTAAGGGGATTCGCCCTAGGGGAATACGACAGCTATTCTAAGCAGTAGTATACCCTACGGTCGACTACGCAGCTTCAGTATAGTACGGTCTAGGACGGCGGGGAGTAGGACGGCGGGGAGTAGGCCGACTTATTATATAGTTAGAACAAATCTAACGTCTTAGAGCCCAATCGGTAGTCGGAGTATTCCGCACAGTAGCGGTATTAGTCGCCTAGGCAGAGGCTAGCCTCGCACCAGTAGAGATCCGCCTAAGGGCTAAGGTCTCTAAACACCTCGTAGGGGCGTACTCGTTACCTAGTACTAACCCGCTAAAGGAGTATATTACCCGCTAGGCTAACTAGAGGGACGTCTTCCGGTCGCCTCTTTAACAGGTAGGAATACGGTATAGAGACCTAATTGCCCCTACACGCGCCCCCCGAATAGAGACGGTACGGCTATAGGAGGAACCCCCCTAGAGAACCTAGCCGATAGAAACCACCCTCTTCGATAAAGTACAGGAAAGACACGCATACGAGAATAGGGAGGTTATCTAGACGGATAGTTTAGTACAATATAGACTAGCGGGAGCAGCAGTAGTAAGATTAGTAAAGGAAAAACTATATACTATCCGAGCCGAAACGGTTAGACGGAGCAAATCCTTCCCAATCTAGGCTGTAGAGCTCTAAGCTATTGCATAGGCAGTAAGTAAGACGGTCGAAGGAGTAACGAAGAAGAAGGAAAAGAGACGGAGGCTACCGTAGATCGCTAGACGCACGGTATAGATAATTTCGGATAGCAGAGCCGCGCTTAGGAGGGTAGAGAAGACTAACCCCTAGGGATTAGGATAGTAGCTAGCCGGCGAGATTAGGAGGGGGGTAGAAGCGAGTCGAGCTAAAGGCGTAGACATTAAGTTTGCGTAGATCTAAGCTTACTTAGGGAGCACGGGACATAACGCCGCCGACAGCGCAGCTAAGGAGACTACTAGGCAGGGCCTAGCCCCAACACTTCCCTTCGAGGAGAGGTAGAGGTATAGGGCGAGCATCCTCAGCCTACTACGGTAGAAGATTAAGGAAGAGCGGGGAGTAGTCGAGGCTAGACCTACGCCTTAGGGCGGATACTTACGTCGACTAGATACGGCCTTTCCCGGCAAGCACCAACTAAGGTTATATCTAGGCCTCGGGGCGGAACAGGCCAACGCCCTCGCACAGTACAGGATAAACTATACACACCTACAGGCTTACCTTTCTTGGATTAAGAGAGCGGAGTCTGCAAAGTACCAGTATGGACTAGCGGATGAGACAGTTCAACACCTCATTTTCACATGTCCCCTATAGGCGCACCTGCGAACGGAAATTCGCTCGTTAGCAGGGAACCGATGGGGAGATATATCATTTTTACTCGGGGGGCGAAGCAGGGCGGAGGATAGGCAGACTGGGAAACCAGTAGATGGGCCAAGGGAAAGTTGGAAACCAAACGTCAAGATGGTCCGGGCAGTAGTGCAGTTTCTACTCGCTACTGGCCGGTTCTCTGGCCAGCAGGCCCTCTAAAAAGGGGCAGGATTTCTTTGTGTATGGGCGTTTAGGTGAGATTAAGAAGTGTTATGTTTACAGTAGGTTACGCTAGGATAGCTCATAGGTCCCATGGAGACCTGCATAGCTTGTAGAAATCAACCAACCAACCAACCAACCATGTCTACAATCCTCCCCGAAAAGAACCACAGAAACCCTACCACCACTGGAACTCCGGCTTCAGGACTGCGTCCTCGTCCTCGCTCTCGCTCTCAGTACCGACGACGCCGTCGTCATCATCGCTCTCGTCTTCCTCTCCGTCCCCATGCTCGTGCTCCTCCCCCTCGGCCTTATCACCCTCCTCGTCGCCCTCGTCCTCGTACTCTTCGTTCCTGCTCTCGCGAGCCTCTTCCTCGCGCGCCTGCTTCTCCTCAACACCCTCCCCGCCCTCTATATCCCCCTGCTCCTCCCCTCCACCAACAGCCCAGTTGCTGCCCTTTCCCACGCGGCGTCTCTTGGTTGCGGGCGCTATGGCCTTCACTTCGGCGGGCTGGGGCTTGCGTGGCGACGACGGGGTGGAGCCGCGCGTGTCGTCTTGCGGCGCGACGTTGCTGGGGGGGCTGACTAGGTCTGAAGCCGTGCGCTTGTGGCGGACGACAATGGTGGTGGGTGTGCCAGTGGTGGTGAAGATGGGCGTAGCGGCGGCGGCGACGACGGTGCTGTCAGCAGGGGTGATGGTGGTGAGCGCGAAGGCAGAGACGGTGCCGGTGGTGGTGGTGGTGGTGTGTGTAAAAGGGTGTGAGGGCGGGCAAGTGTGCGTGAGAAGGTGTTGTGGTGATTGATGGTAGAGGTTGCGTGCGGGAAGGAGAAAAGAGGAAGGGCGAAGTGAAGTTGTGTAGTTGTGTTGCGCCGGCGGCGGAAGGTACTGTTGCAGAAAGCACCTTAGACAGACTGCCCGTGTTCGATTCCCGGTTCTATCGCGATTCTTTTTTCTTTTTGCTTTGTTCGTATGTCAAGTCGACCTCTTTGCCGCACGCTTGAAGTCAAAGACGCCGCCCCAGCCCGAAGCAAACACTCCAACCCACCACGCCATTCCTCCCGATGCTAGCCAGCTCGTCAAGCAGCCTCCGCCACAGCATCTTCACCCTCATCTTCAACCCCCAGCCCCGCCAACACCCACCATCGCATGCCCCAGCGCCCCAGTCCCGACGGCCACAACCACGCAGCACAATCATCCACAACCGCGAACCCGCACAGCGCGCCACCAATACCGATACCGTCGCAAACAAGTTCCCAGACCTCTACGACATCGCATACGCCATGATCCACCTACGGCTGTTCCACCAGCAGTGCTGGCTGCTTCTCACTCTCAGCGGCTTGCGCTGCGCCGGTTTCCATCGCACCCTCAACCCAGGCCTTGAACTCAACCCGCACCCATTCTCCAAGCCGCCGGAGTGCCGTCAGCACGCTATAGCACCCGAGCAGCGAGGTCGTGCTGCCTAGGTACATCTTCCCATACAGTGTCTACACCGACAGTCAGCAAGCAGCCCTCACTCAGCACAAGCTATCAGAAGCGAACGTACCACACCTCCCCCCACACACCGCGCCCACAGCAGCCACCACTCGGCGCCCTGCACATACAGGACCGGCAAAACCGGCATACCCTCTTCCTCCGTGCCAAGCTCTTTCATCCTCGTAAACCATGCCGCCGCCCACACTGCCAGCTGGACTTTCGCGGCCTCTTCGCCGCCGTCCTGGGATTTGGTCACAATACTGACGCCGGCAGGCCGCCGTCGCAAAGCGGTGTAGGTGGTCTGGTTAACAGAGCTGTGCCTTTGGGAGGCGTTGCCTTGGTGGTCGGCTGTGAGATGCTTGCTGATGGCGTGTTCGAGAGTGGAGCCTGGGCCGGAACAGAGGCAGAGGGCGTAGTTGACCATTTTGGCGTCGAGGAAGGTGCCGCGGAGGTTGCCGGGGAGAAGGTGAGGGGAGATCTTCGCTGATGTGCTGGACGGCGGTTAGAATCGGCGTGTGTTTGAGAGGCTACATTATAGGCTGGGACTGGGAAGAGGATGGAACAGAAATCCGAGGATATCTGCAACTAAACCGGTATATCCAAAGGGTGAAACTCCGTGCGGATTGCGACTGCGGGCGAGGACCAAAGCCGAAGATGAGGCGGCCGAATAATCAAAGAAAACTAGAAAACCACTCACATGTAAAGAGGCCTGACTTCTCGCTCACCACTCAGCGCCAGCTCAAGGACCTTTTGATGGACATTACTGTTCCAGTTCGTCGCCGCTTCGTGCTCTTCTACACAACGACAAGACTCCTCACGAATTGAAGTCACGGCTGAAAGCTCCACGAGGAGTCTGTTTCCATTTTCCTCAGCCCGCTCAGCGCGAAACTGATGGTCGAAGAATGTGTGTAGACCACCAGAAGCTTCTTCAAGCTCCATCTGTTTGCGCGTCAGCATGGGCATTGTAATGTTGTGGAACAAGGAGATGTGACAAAGAAGCTTGTTGAAGACCTGGAAACGTACCCGGATCGATCGAGGCAGCACACCGACGCCCATTCCAAGTGCATTCAGCTCTTTATACAACTTGGCTGCTGCATCGCCAAGGACATTAACGTCCTGCATCTCAACATACCGAAATCCTCCATCCACAAGCTGCAAATCAGACATGTTTTCAACTGGGTTGGCACTGCGCTTCCTCGTAGGTCCTCCTGCTTCGGAAGAATCGCCAGACCCAGAAGCGCTAGTTGAGGCATCGCAATCATCGTGTCCTTTTCTTTCTGCCGCAAACTGATCGGCCCCCTCCAATTTAGCGCGATAGCGATAGGTGAACGGGAAAAAGAACGGCGCTTGATGCACAGTCTGAATAGGCGACTGCACAGAAACAGCACCCACACGCGGCGGCCGCGCCGTCTGATCAACATCATCCAACTCCGCTTCATCAACGTCTTTGCTCTTGCGCTTCCCCGGCGTCATCAGAGGCTGCTGCGTGAGGCGGCGGCGCTTCCGGCCTGCCTGATCGGGCGCGGTCGCTGGAACACGTGCGCGTTTCCTGGCAGTTGGCGCCCGGAAGTCGGACCGCAGTGCGGAGGACACGTCCGAGATCCATGCCGAGACTATGGTCGTGGTCAGCATGGTGGGGGTGGGGAATGCGGGGCGTTCTTTGGTGGGGTTGTAGGGGGGTTGTTTGTTGTTGCGCGAGCGTGGACCCTGGCCCGAGGCTTTTGGCGCCGCTGGGTGGCGTGGCACGTGATATAGATTAGCTACTACTTTCCTTGGAGGAATTTTACGTGCTTTTATGGCTAAACCCTGACGAATTCTTTGTAAATGAGCTTGCTTAAGCAACTTCGATGAACTTCTTGATGTGAACCGTCCTGGTCCTTGTAGAAATGTGAATGCGGCCTACTCTACTTGGAGAAAGATGGAGGCAGGTAAGTCTAACGAACAAGTTGCCCTTGCCCTGAATTTCGTCGCATTCTATACTATCTTTTGTTCTACTAGAAACAGCACCTGGGTCCGCTGATAACGTAGCTTATTATGTACTGGAACGCTGACCGTGTCACGTGCTACATGGTATCGCGTAGGCTACTGAAGCTGAGAACCGTTAAGCCCGTTCCGAATATATTAAAAATAACAAGTCTATCTTTGATCGATGCTCCTTTACAGAATTGGACGGATCACCAAATATTCTGGAACGGAGCTTCCCCAGGGCACGAAGAATCCGATCTGCTGGATAGATATTATCAACAGGACTCGCGGTCTCAGTGCCGCGATCCGGGACACGCTTATGGGGAATAATCACCTTAAAGGACTTTGGCAGTGCTGGTATCGCTGATGCCAAGGACATTCTTTCTTGTCACCCAAAGCCGTACTATCAGCTCTTGCGCCTCGCGCACAATGACTTCGACACTTCGTGCATGTCCTTCGGGCCAATACTTAATTCACCATGGCGCACGATACATCAAGTACCTGCCCCTCATAAAGCCGCCCCTTAAGCGCGTTTACCCCAGGCCTCCCAGTCGCCCGCCCACGCCCGCCTGCCCGCCCGCCCGCCCGAAGGGCCCGGGCGGGCGGGCAGGCGGGCGGCTGGGAGGCCTGGTTTACCCTGGGTCCCTGGTAACGAGTTAGGTTTAAGCGAATTTCTACCAGGAAATAAGGACGGCATGGACGATTTCTACTTGGCAGAAGACGTCGGTATGAATCTCCTGCAAATGAACAGCAAGGTTAGTGGCGTTGTGCTTCAAATAGCGACACGGATGCTCGCTAGCGAGGCCAATGCCGGCGACATTGTGTGCCGACTATATCGTGCGCCGGCGGGATTCTGTACCGACGGATTCTCTGCCTACCATGTTCTGTGCCTACCACATTCTGTGCCCACCATATTCTGTGCCGATAATTCTCTGCCCGGCAAAGATACGAGCAAGAGTTGCCTACCATTTCGGGCGACCCTGGGCTGGGGGACCGGCACAGATACTCCAGTGCTGCGAACAAGATGGGAAGACGCGGCTACGTCGCCGAATTCAATAGCCAGCAGCCAGAGGGCGGCATAGCGAATCGCAATCTTTACATTATTTCTAACCTCTTAGATAATCACGAGCTCACCTTTGGCGACGAAAATCTCTCAGCAGACAGCAATGCGCACGAAGTAGCAGGTCTCTAGTTTGGAAAGTAATAACTACAGAGTCGATGATATAAATAGGGTGTCGCGCTAACTATATACGGAGCTTCAGCAGCAGCTTAAAAATACTACAGCCGAAGCTATACTGGAGTAACAACACATTATAGAGATGGTCGATCAGTCCAGCTCCAAGTTCCGACCAAGACAGCGAGGCCTTCCCAACGAGGACTTTGCAGCGCATTCGCGAGAGGAAAAGCATGCCGACGGAGACGGCAAACGTTTCTAGAAATCCGTAAATTTTAAAGTAAACTCTTACTTAGTAGACGAGGAGCTTTGTACACGGGGATATAGTGCTACGGTTTAGCACTAAAAGAATAAGCATCGTAATCTAATTCGGCGAATAGAAGAAGATACGCGGCTAGGAAAGTAAGATTCTTCAGCATAAAAGCTCTTTATCTTTCTAGATATTCTAGGCTGGGAATGCAGCTCTATAGCACAAGAGCAATACCTGCTTTGCTCAGAACATACAAGGAACCAGAAGCATCAGCCATAAACATCAAGGCTACTACTGCGAACTTCGAAAACACAATATTAGTACTAGCGCGAAAGAACAAAGAGTTATTGCAAACAATAATTTAACAAAGACTTTACCATTCAGCATTACTTCACAGAACAAAGAAGATAATTCACACGGAAAGAAAATAATTGTTAACCCATAAAATCTATGTTCCATAGCAATCACGCACTTGCTTCGGCATATAACCTCATCAGCAAAAAATGCCAACAAGCCCACTAAAAGAGACATCCAGGTCTACTTAAGGATACTAAGAAAGCATCCAACCGACTCTTTCAGAAATCACTTCAGTCAGTCCTCAAGCATGGGCAACGTTGTGACTGTCCTGTTTGGTGTCAAACAGGACCGTATCAAGCAGACCACCTCTAACGAGGTCCGACCGAACAGCAACAGCGGCGAGAGCCACGACGAGCAAGTTCCTTCTGAGTATGAAACGGCAGATGAGCACCAAGCCAGCGACGACGGCAAAGCCAAAAACAAAGACGGACCTTCGCAGTTCGACAAGCTCGTACACGAGACTCCTTCACAGTTCAACAAACTCGCACGCGAAGATGCAGCCGACGACGCATCCTTAAACAGCGAGGACGACGACGCCCTCTACGACTTCCGCGAGATCTTCACCCTAGTGAACCGCATCCGCGCCGACTGCGCGCGTATAGCCGTCGGCTTCGGCGAGCCCAACTGGGCGAGCTGCCAGTTCTGCGAGCTGCGGCGGCTGCTGCTGCGCGCGGAGCGAGAGTTCCTGGATCTTAAAGGCCTGAGCGTGCATGCGGTTGATGCTAGAGAGACGCTTTATGCTGAGAATGCGCGGCTGGTGGAGCGGGTGAGCGAGCTTGAGAGGGAGCTGGAGGAGTGTCGTGGTGCGCCTAGCACTTAGAGCTCCTGGCACATGAAAGGTAGGTACGAAATTATCTTCCTACTTTGCTTTTTGCCCTTGCCTTTTTGCCCTTGCCAAAGTTTCGTTACATGCACGTACCCTCTTGCACGACGTACAGCGACATCGGCACAGTAACCCTACTTATCTTCCTTACTATTGCTAGTCCTTGTCTTTTTTCTTTTTCACACTGTCTTTGATTGGATCATTGCGTGTACTTCACGTGGCATCAGTATATCCGAGCATAAATGTCGAAAACACAAAAAAATTCGAAAGAAAGTTAAACCCCCTAAAAATTGAAAGAAAATTGTTATATAATTCCCCTAAGTCTCATCACAATGTGCCAGTGAGCACCACCTGGAAACATGTTGGTAAATAAATATAAACACTAGATATTAAACCGTATTAACATGTACAGCCTCTGTGCAGTGCTTTCTTAAGCGTTGCAGTGCGAGGCCAAACCCTCGAAGGTGTAAGTACTCCTATGCGATGAGAAAGAAGTTGGCTTAAGGTAGTTCTGTAACGTTTGGCTGTTTCTGCAGCGAAGTACTACATATCGCAAGTTTGTAAACAACTCGCGTTGGTAGTCGGTATGGAAAACGGTCGGGAAGTTTTCCGTACTGACTACCAACGCAAGAAGACCTTTCCACTTACCTACTCATATAACCTATACCTCCTCTACCAGCTTACAGACCGTCACCAAACTCTCTCATATCAAACAATACGCACCTTTCCCAATCACAAGAGCCCTCTTCTCGTCCTCTCCCCACAACAACCATTTCGCCGACTCAAAACAACATCTTACGCACCACGCACAGCACAAGGCCGACGCCTACGCCCACGACCTCGCCCATCGCCATCGCCATCGCTATCCAGTCTCAGCCGTAGGCCCAACCTTAACAGCTAAACACTCCCGCCTAAGCCCGTAAAGCTAGGTTTAGCGCTACTCGGCGCCGCTACCGCCGCCTCCCGCCGCTAAGATAATAAGACAACTACATTCGGAAGCGCAGCAGCAACGTTACTAGCTATACTCCTAGCAGTAGCAGGGCCTGGCTTGCCTAGTCGCCGCTAGGCAGGTGGGTAGGTAAGTAGTTAAGGAGGAGGGCGGCACTGTACCGTTAGTCGGCGTGTAAGACGTAGTAAGGCTGGGTAGCTGTGTTATACATATATAATGGTTGGTTATTTCGCCAGTAGCAGCGTGACTGCGAATCAGATCCGGATTAGGCGTAGGTTACGCTACCCTACGCTGCCCTGCCTCGTCATGCGGTCTTTAGGTGTGTATGCGTCCGTCGTGCGTCGTCGTGACAAGCACCACCTAGGCACGTATGCCTGAGACGCAGGCTACGGCCTTACGCATTGGCGGGCAGGGCAGAGCAGGGCAGTACAGGTATAAGGCTTCGATAAGGCAGGTATAAATTAGCTCGTCTAGCCCGGTACGCTAATCCGTACCTACCTAGTTTTTCGTATCGCCCGTCCCGTCCCGTCCCGTCATCTACTCTCTCGCGATCTTGAATGCCTCTATGCAGCCGACTCGCGCGTGCTATGAGGTGAGGCAGGGACCTAGGTAGGCACGTAGGCACGTCGGCACGTAGCTGAATTCTCTCGCCTCCCGTCAGGCCGACTGCCGGCACCGAACCATCTCCGCTGCGGAACCGGCTGAATAATCGGGCCGCACCGCACCGCCTCAACAGCGCGGCACAGAAAAATCATTGCCGGCCCCACAACGAGTTTCTGTGCCTAGGTACGGAGTACGGCTCTCCGTGCACGCAGCTAAAAATAAAAATAAAAAATGAAATGCAGCTTCTGTGGATCGAACACAGTACCTCCAGATACCGCACAGGCTTATAACCAAAGTTGAACTTCAGTCTGGCGCTCTCCCAAGTGAGCTAAAGCTGCTTTGATGGCGATGGATTGGTGTTGGTGGGTAGAGATTATAAGGAGTGAGAATTTGATGGAGGAAGTGCGACTGGGCTGGAGGCTTTAGAATGTAGATATAGAGGCTTGTGGATCGTGTGTTGTGTTGGTGGCTGTTAGCCGCGGACCGGCATGGAAGAAATATACAAGGCGAGGAAGTTGAACGTAGTATGATTTGAATCTTCCCGTAGTGCGATGATGCGTCTTCCTGTATAGATTTGAGAGACTTGGCTTTTGTGCTTCTCTCTTAGAGCGCTTTGTAGACGTATAGTAAACTGCTACGATTGGTTTTAGCTTTAACGCTCTTGGTAATGCGCTTTTGCACGCTGGTTCGCATTGATCTTTGAATGGAAACTAGGATCCTAGCCTTATACTACCAATAAGGATAAGCACGTAGGGAAAGGTCTTCCCCTATTAAAGCATTTGAGACCGGCTAAAAATGAGGCAGAGACAACCATGTTCCGACATGATTCTATAGAACATTCTAGCCTTGTTAAGGTACTAACACAACCATGTAACCAACGTTTGAACAAAGTTTGAATAAAAGAGTGGACAATGCGTGAACAGTGCAGTAACAACCTACACGAAATTCAAGCTGTAAAACGTCTCTTCCCCACCGCAGCTAGGTAACTCATCTCATCTCTAGTCCATCCAGCAAGCAACGCAAGCACCAAGCATGCACGGCCACGAAACCCCCCAAGACAACCACAACGACATGGAGACTCACTGGCAGCTAGCCACCCAGCCCGCTCAAGCCGCGAGTGAACTCGACCCCGGAACCCAAGCCATCGTCGCCGCTATCAACAGCCTGCGCGACACCGTCAAGACCGAGATCTCTGGTCTGCGCGACGAGATCGCCGACCTGCGCTACGACATCACTGGCCTTCGCGACGACGTCACCGGCCTGCAGGACGACGTCGCCGACTCGTATGATAACACGAACGTTCGTGTTGGCTGCTTGCGCGTTGATATCGCCGGCTTGCGCAATGAGGTCAAGGGCTTGCGCGCTGAGGTCAGCGAGTGCGAGTCTTCTGGTCAGAAGTTTCACCCTAAGAGCAAGTTGCTCACCAATGGTCAGAACCACGACGATGTAAAGGAGCTTCTCCAAAAGGAGACTCAGGACGTGGATGGTCAGACTCGCTAGGTTTTGTGGGTCTTTCAGAAGGTCTCACGGATCACTGAGCAAACGCTACTAACTGACGTATCTTGGAATGAACGGTTATAAGATGGACTTGCAGGCTATTGCTAATCTGTAGTTCTGCGACGGTTCCATCGTGTTAGAGTAGCTGGTTTCCTCCTTTGTGCTCAGTCCCAACGACGTACCGACTAAATGACCCTGTACCCTCTGTCTTGATGCGCAATGGTCTTTGTAGTAATCTAGAAAATTCTTGAATGCTTTTGCAAATGCGTGCCGGTTTCAGTAACCAAGTGTTTTCCACTAGTGAATATGTTGACTTCTCCGTTTCGAAGAAGAAACACCTATAGGCCTTAAAGGACTTATATAATCCAGCTTTGTAAACAAATAAGATATAGCTTAGCGGACGTCTTACGCACGTTATACGCTGCGATAGTGATATCTAGCGAAGAGGGGGTGATAGGAGGTGGCAGGAGGCGGTTATTACTTGTAGTGAAAGAAAAGGTACGAGGGAATGTATGTACTGCCCTTGATGTAAAGGACACTAATGCCTAAGCCTATGACCGTAGCGCCGACGGCCCCCATCCTAATTTATTTATCCTTAAAATTTTCGTAGTAGTTAATGACGTTAAGAAACCCTATAGCGTTCTTGTTAGGTTAAACGTAAATTGGGGTCAGCAGCTTAGGTATTGATGGATGTGGGATATTAACCCATCAACCATTAGAAGGGAACGTAACAACTAGCGCTCCCAGGGACCTAAATCCGGCGCCAAACGAACCGGCACAGC